GGACTAAACCTGGATCTGCCTCTTGACTTTGCCCTCTGGATTAACCTGCCTTACTTCGTCTGTTTGCATCTGATCTTCTTTCACTTCTGTAATCTTCAAGTTTTTGGCGTCTGGAACTCTCTTTGCGGCAACCGCTCCGTAATGTCAGCCAACTGGCTGGTATCAACCTCGTTCTCTGGACATGGACCATACTCTTTACCATATTAGTCACTCATGCATTCCTATCCTCCTCCGTGAGGTTATCCTGGTCACTAACATGTGTTTCCTCTCCCCCAGGGTCTCCTGCCTCAGACGCCCTAGCTAAAACAGATCAGCAGTCTGTTTATTTCAATACTGAGTCTTCTGTTCTGAACCGTGACAAGAAGTACAAAATAATGAATCCATAGCACATCATATACCACCAATATGTAAATATTTGCATAAAATGATTCAATGACTGAATTTTGCTTTAGAGTTTCCAGGCTTCCATAGGTGTTATAGTAGTACAGGCCATTTACCATATATTGGTAGTAAATACCTCTTCCCCAACTGTTGGCATCATGTTGAATGAACGGTGACACCCTTTACCTCTTTGCTTATCCAGGCCTGTTTGTATCAGTTGACGACATCTACATTCTAGCAAACTGGGGCAGATATAGATACCTAGGTAAGGAGCAGTTCCCTAATTCTTAGGTCTGGTTTACTAAATAACCAACATATTCTCATTATCAGTGCGTGTGAAATCGTACGAAAAGTTATGCACACTATTTCGTACGTTTTGGACGTTTCTCCTCAAAAAACCGCATCAGTGCGCATGCGCTGGCAGACAGAAAAAAAAGCAGATCCGCGGACAGACGTAAAAATGGGAAAAACAGTGCAATCATCACTTATTCATGTCTCTAAATACGTTGCTTGCTGTTTTATATCTTAGGGTTAGGGTCAGGGTTAGGGCTAATTGTAATTTATAGTCTATATTCGTGAATGGGGCGTCAGATGCGCATGCGCATACAACGGATAAAACGTCCAAAACGTACGAAATCACGGTGCATAACTTTTCGTACGATTTCATACGCACTCATAATGAGAATAGGTTGAAATAGCAGGTTTTCTTTGGTTTCCTTTTTTGAAGTGAGAATTAATTCTGTGTCATATCATGTTTATGCCTCAGAGCCACAGGAAGTCATGGATAAAAAAATCCAACATTTAGAAACTCTGATCAATTTAAAAAGTCAATTATAATTTTAAAACATTTAATTTGTGTTCTTAGATGCGCCAATAAATTTGACACTGATACTTTTATTTATAGCAGCAAACGTGTAACGTTGGATGTTTTCTACAGAGAGAAAATAATTAAGGTAAAAGAGATTTTTTATGGCTTTTTACAAATTTTTATGAGGTGGTAATGATTAGAAACTAAGAATTTTCTAAATTTAACAACAGATGTTTGAACAGAATAAAGAGCATTTAAATGGCTATATGTGAAGATGGATAGTTTGTCCAACTGTCCAATCAGAGCACAGTGCAGAGGTAAAAGTCGTTTACTATTGACTCACCTGATTGTGTTGTGCAGCAGTACGTTTGTTTTTTAGGATCCTGGAAGACATCCAAAAGTAGTCAGAATA